AGAGAGAGAGAGAGAGAGAGAGAAATAGAGAAATAGAGAGAGAAAGAGAGAACGAGCATGCCGCGCCATCCACCCAATAGGATCCCGTCAATTGCAGCACGCAAAATATTCCAAATATTCGACGCATATTGTTTTAAAGGACGGAACGATGCTTTATAACAATTCTCATTGGATTATAATGGACAATTTGTTTTAATCGAACGTAATATTTATCTGAAGGATTTTATATATTTTTTGAAAAGATGCTATGTAATCCAGCTGCTTTTAGTAATCCATTATATTTATTACATTATATATTAGTGGAGAGGGAATACAATTTTGAAGAAAATAATCTTATATAAAAAAATGAAACGAATGTAGAATAATATATGTTTGTAATAGGTTTTATACGCTCAACGTTGGAAAATTGATATTTTTTCTTTCGCATTTCTCTTTCGCTTTTAGTTCGCGCAGTAAACTTTTCGTGTATGATAAATTAATTTCGACTACAAAAATATAAATAAAACGCGGTACTTTATTTAAAATACCAAAGGTTATTCCTTTTATATGTTGCTTATTGTAATATTTTTTTTATTGCAAAATTTGCTTGATAATTGCAATTATTATATATTATTTTTTTAAATGAAATGTTTGGATTTCGTTATGCATATTTTGATAGCTGCTGTTGAAATACATTGAACGATTTGTGTCGGAAGATTTAAAAAAATGATTCATATTTAAAAGTGAAAATAAATATTAATCTTCAAATCAAATTAATCAAATGTTTCAAATAAATTTTCTCGAAAACAAAGCTTCGCGGAAAGAATATTATTTTATACGTTTTACTTTTCTATTTAGATTACTTTCCAATTATTATTCCCGTTATGTCATCAATAACTTTATATATTGATGGACAATTTTAATCCATCTTTTATTTATACATATTTAAGTAACAGAAATATGAAAACTCTGAAAAACGTAGTTGTACGATAAAGCACCTAGCGTTTGAATTGTGTGGAACCACGAGAAACTCTTGACATGCAATCTAATTCACTTAATGTACAACCAAAAGAACAATTCAAACTCTAGGTTTTATCGTACACTTCTTCGAGCTGGATAGCTGAAGATCGAAGAAAAACGTACGATAAAACACTTAGCGTTTGAATTCTGTAATGGAACCACGACAGACGGGAAACTCTTGAGGCGTAATGTAATTCACTCAATGTACAGATAAAAGAATTTATTACACTACAATTATGCAAATATTATACTAACTTGATTTGTTCTCTGCATTTGCAAATTTTTCACAATTAGAACAGTTTCGACGTGCTGCACTAAAATCTGCCTATTCGCCAAACTACGCACTTACCTTCTATCGTTCGCAATTTTTGTGCCGTTTTTTGAAGAAGGATGCCCGCTAAAATGCTTGAAAGCGCGGCGGTTTTATTGTTGAGGTGAAAAACCCTCAATTTTGCGTTAGTCCAACGAAGTTTTGCCACTCCGCAAATTTTCGCAATGACCTCGATACGATAGCGTCACGATTGGTTTTGGCTTTACGATAGCGAAAAATTCGACGTTTATTGAGTTTATCTATGTCAGTGCTCGGAATTGGTTGCACATTTCAAGCGATTTTTATATGTCAACGTCTTGTTTCTCTTCTTACCGGGCGATAGGTAGGACCAGCGCCGTCGAGGCGTTCGGGCATGCCGAATCGAATCCTCTAATCTTCAAATTTGAATAATCAATGTCTTTACATAAGAAGAACCACTTTATTTCTCAGATAGAGCTGCTTCTGGCTCTGTAGCATGCGCGATTCATATCGATTATTCTCGATCTTTGTTGTTTCTGACTTTGCATATTTTGTTATTAAGAAAAAATCTAACAGTTATTGATTTTCGTCAGTGAGATGATTTCTGGCAATACTAATAGATTTCTAGAATGTTCTGTCACTTTGGATTTTTGATTAAAATGAGTCTACGAATTATGCGAATTATTAATTTAGTAAGCGAGTTTCGGTCATCTAGCGAACTTCGAAATTATTTGCGAATAATAGTTCCTAATGTTTTATCTCGCGCTGAAATTAAATAGAATAATTATATCTTGTTCAATTTTTGAAATATAACTTTTCTACATATCCTGTTTTTCGTAAAACCGCATTGAACGATTTTTATGGCATACGTTGCGCGACCTTTATTTCAAATAAAGTAAGATTGGAGGCTGCCAAGCAAACTTTTAAGGGCAAAAATTTTATCTATCCATCGTGGCTCTCTTTTTATTCGCATCTACTTGGCACGAATTTTACTGAATTTCTGCAGATTTAATATATCTGATTTCCGTGTTCTTCAAGGACACTAAAAGTGGCCTAATCGTGTCACCTTCGTCCGCAGACTATCCACTCCATTTACTCTATTTACACTCAAAGCTTTCGAAAGTTTGACCCTTGGCAGCGGTCGATGCAGTCTGCCAAGTGCCATTGCGATAAATTACTTTGTAAAAGCAGACATAATGGCCGATAATGCTTTCTTTTGTGCAAACTGTGCAAAAGATGCAATACTATAATAATCTCGAGTGCGATTTTATATCCCACCGCTATATTGATTGGCAACAATTATGCTACACGCATGCACGAAACTTACTCAGCGTAATGAAACTCATTTCCATTGTTCCTGTGAACATCCTTCATCCTGACAAGTGAATTCATGCTTTTCGCTTTTGTCCCACTTCATTTACAGTTTGTTTAAATCATTCCGCTGCGCATGTCGTATTACTCATCTCGCGGTGCTTCGCATCCTTTAATGCTTCCATTTCACTGCGTGAAATAATATGCCGTATGTTGTTAACAGATACTCTTAGAGGGATTGCATTTGTCATTTTACTCGATACGGCTTTACGTGCAATTTACTGGGCGCTTCAATTGTACATTACATCTCGTGACATTTTATTGCTGGAACAAGATCGCAGATGACCGGCGTTTTAACTTCTGCACGTGTCACTGCGCACATTGCGCGTATCATAAGACATTAATAAAAGCGCTATTTAGCGAACTTGCCGTAAATATCAAGTTTAGACCTATACGCGACACCGGGGCTGTTTAGAGGGCGTGTAACACCTTAGACACCTTATACGCTATCCGCAACCGGAGATTCTGTCCGGAGATACATCAAACGCGCTTTAATTAATTATGGAAATGTGTTAATTAATTGTTATAAGCATCATTGCTCGTAAGATATAATTTTGCGACACGTGGTATATTAGTTGAATACATTTTAATCAATTTTTAACTGTATTACACGCAGAAATGTGTGAAAGTGCAAACTGAAGTTGAATTTTGTATTTTCTCGTTATATAAAAGCTAGAAATTAACTTTTCAGACATTAATAATCTTTTTGATGTACATTTTATGCATCATTATTGAGAAACGTTTCTATATTTTATAATTAGATATATTAAAATGCATATTTTGATATTATGAATATTTTGCTTTTTAATTAAGGTAATTGTTTGTTGTCGCAAATGTTGTACCTCGTTTATAATTGTGAGTTACGGTGCTATACTGTTGCGAGTGGTGCTTTGCATAAAAATATTTAAAACAAAGGAGATAACTTTCCTAGCAAAAAAATATGTTATTTCTCGCATTCAAACAAACGTTCTTTCGAAAATAAGCTTTATTTTTAGTCCGAGCTGTCTCTCATTACGACTGACGTGTAAAAATACTCCAGCGATGGCTCGAGATGTCTTTTAATATATACAGGGTGTCCGATAATTGCTGAATCATCTCTCGGGTGCAGGTAGAGCGGGTTAAACCGAGTAGAAAAGTCCTCTATCGTTTTGCGATTTTCGCAATAATTAATGAGAAATTAATTAAAGAAGATCGGCCAATTTGCGCGAGTCTAAACGCGCGGCGAGAAGAGACAGCCCGTTGTTACGTGGTCGCTAGGACGCAAGGATCTAGCGTTACACACCGCTTGTATGTGCCGTTGTCATTTATAGAGCGCTCCTCCCAACGATTTATCGTGCGCCTAGTAACCAAATAACAGTGAGCTGTATCACCACGGGTCTCTTCTCGCCGCGCTCTTAAACTCGCGCAAATTGGCCGATATTTTTAATTAATTCCTCATTAATTATTGCGAAAATCGCAAAATGATAAAGGACTTTTCTATTCGGTTTAAACCGCTCTACCTACACCCGAGAGATGATTCAACAATTATCGGACACCCTGTATATATATTAATTTGATATTATCATACGAGTCTAATCCTTATATCTTATAATGATTTCAAAAATACTCCCTTGCAATCATCACATGGAAAATGGAAACATTTGTTTTTTTTTTTAAATAATCAAAGAAAGATGTGCATACATAATTTTACATACGCTTAACATAATTGTTAACAATTTATAATTTTTAAAAATTTTATTATAAAATTAAATAATTTTTTATGTATTCTAATATTATACTTTACCATTCACAAATGCAAGGTAAGTCAAGGAAAACTTCTGTCTACTTTGCGACTTATGCGAAAATGTCGAAATAAGTCAAATTTGTTTCTCAGGATGTGACTTTGATAGATCACCTCGAAAATAAAATTGGTTTGTTTCGACATTTTTTGCACAAATCAATCGATTACGAGATAGAGTGAAAAGTTTTCTCTGATCTGCTCTGTATATCGTGAGCAAAAGTTTTTTCCGAATGGACATTACTTGCGGAACTCTCAGGTAATTCATACTTTCTAAGATTCGATAAGTTTGCAAAACTAGACGTAACTACGTGAATTTGGATTTTAAAATGAAT